GTTCCATGGAGGGACAAACTTTATTCCTTTATCTTTCCCAGCACCTCAAAGTAACATACTCATGTAACAGAAATATGCATGTAGTGGATGTATTGTTAAAAATAATTTTAAAATTTTAATTGAAAAGCATTTCTTCATTGATGTGACATTTATTAATAGTTGTTTGTAATAATAAGTGGGGAGAATATATATGCAAACCCACATGTTTTCCCCGACAAAATAGCTATGTCTATGCGACAATAATGCCGCCTAGCGATGGCCTTTTCATCTCTTTGTTTCTTCTCCTTATAATTTTAATGATGTCTTCACTCTTCATACTCACGATAAAAAAATTTAGAATTGGATATTTGAAATTGAAAAGGGAAAGAATTAACTTATTTGTAAAGATGTGATTGGATAATATATGAAAGAAAATGTTGGAACATGGGGGTGTGTGTGTGTGTGTAGTCCACAAAATGAAGGGGGGGAAATGAAGCAATGCTATGCCAATATGCTCGCAATTAATTAATAAGAGCTGCCACATGCTTGTGTTTCTGCAAATTAAACAAGATCAAATTATATATATGTTTGGTCAAACACTGCCTGTTTGAAGCATTAATCACTGAGATATTGGGAGGGCGATCCATATATTAATAGAGTCAACAAGTTCACTATTGATAAGAATATATTATGATTTACATTATTAAGAGAGAGAACGTGTCATTATAACGTGTCGTGAAAAAAATAATTGGGTTGTGGATATAATTTATAAGAGTTGGTGGCGGATATTTATAATAATGTATAGTAATTATGTTGAGTTTTTGGGGGAGAAATCGAAGGAGAGTGATAAATTTGGAAGAGGTCGTGCATGGTAGCATGTGAGGCTAGGGTGTTTAGAATGTTTATATAACTTATTTGAATTAATTAAATGAAGGATAGGCCTGCAATTTTAACTAGTACTGTATTTATCATGAAAGTGTCGATAGATAGGAAAGTTTTAGAAAATAAAAAATAAAAGAGGAAGTCGGTAGGGCATGCATGTGGCTGTTAATCACATTTAATGTTAATTCAAAGGATTCCTCCTTTCAACAAAATTCTTTAAAATTTGACTGTTTTTTAATACAAAAAAGATTAATTGTGTTGAATTGATCTTTTGGATATAATAAACGTCATCTTCATAAATTCAATGGTCGATACATAGTTGGCAAAATAATATAGTCGATAAATAAAAAAATATAATTTGATTCCCTCAATTAATGTATCATTGTTATTTTAGCATGTCAAAACGAAATATCTTATGACAAAATATCTATCACGTTGAATTGGCTCGTGATTTAAATTTTCGACCTTTTCTCAAAGATTAATAAAGCATTTTGTCATATTAATATTTTTGTAGCAAACTGAATTTGAGAAATTAAAGAAATATTTCCGAAAACAGTGTGCGAAGCGTGACTTTCTTGATGGCTACAACACAAAATTTAAACATAGTTATAAAAATTAAAAAATAAAATAATATTGTGGATAAGGATGTAAGCCTGCAACCAACTAAAATGAAGTCATAATCATAAAAAAAGTAAAAATCAAGGGTCGTTGGAATGAGAAAGTAACTCTGCAATCCCAAGTCGCAGTTAATCAATGGCCACCAACAGTATTATTGACTACTATAGTAAATTTCCTAAGATTTATTTTAATTATATTCGATATTTTTATTTCTAAGATAATAGCTGTAGCCTGCTGGTCAAAAAAAAAAAAAAACCGTAGCCTATATGGTTTAGTTCACGCTCGAAGCTTGATATAAAATCAGCCGTCCAATTTTTTTTTTGGTCGATGCAGTTAATAACTGAAAACCATGGAACTTTTTTTTTTAATGATAACAACAGTAAAAATTTTTTTTAATTGACGTAAAAATTAAAAAATTGGATTCAAATTATCTTTAATATGGAAATGAAAGTATGTAAACTATTTTATCTATTTTAAGAAATATATGTATATGCTTTTTTTTACAAATATAAATTAATTTTTAACAAATTTATCATATATATACATATTATGTGATGTGAGACTGGGTAATCTGTTCTTTAGTTAAACTCTTAAATTTTTTTTTTTTGCCAACAAAATTTTAATAAAATATAAGTCCGGCGGTCAATATTTTATTTACAGGCAGACGTATAGGCTGTGGACAGCTATTTAATTTGCAGCTTGTCAGTGTCACTGTTAATTCCATGAAGAAGCTTCGTGTAAGTTAATTAAACCTTAATCAACAACGTAACCCATATATTTTTATTCCTGTTTTATATATAAAGAGTGAAAAAGCTTATTTTCTAGAAGTGAGAAAGCAAGCAAAATGCAGCGAAGATATTAATATCCGGGAATATCTTTTTTCTTTAATCTGTTCGTTGTTATCCATGCATCTTTATTTTCCTACGCTTTGTGAATTTTCCTCGAAAGATATATATATATATATATATATTTTATATAATGCTCACTGGCGTGTAAAGTAGATGTTTGTTGAAGATTCTCCAGAATTATGACTTCCATCGCTCTCAAAGCAGCAAAATTAAGAGACGCCTCAGCTCAGATTATATTCACATTCTATTTATTTTTTTAAGATAGTTCATGTATTTCCACTCAATATATATGTGTGTGTGTGAGAGAGAGCTCGTACGAAATCGAGAAATAATATTTCAGTCCAAGACCAAAATTCAGGTATGAAATTAATGGTTGCAGATCAACTTGCACAATTTTTTTTAATTATTCTATTAGTAATGATAATAATAATGTGACATATCATGTTAGATACCAATTGAATTTAACGACCAAAAAAACACATACGAAGCAGTTATAGAGTCCCTGGATCTTCCTGGGCCAAGCTAGCTTGCTAGATTAATCGACAAATATTAGATTAAATTACACAACCATATATATAAGTTAAATGTTAATGGTGATCACTGTGCTTTGAATTTAGCAGCAGCATTGTCATATGATGATATGAGTAATTCACACGCACACACATATATATATTTATATAATGTCTGATTTTTTTTTTCACATTCTCGAGATCGACATGTTCATACAATGCTATGGTTATTGAATTACTCCTCCAATCCTTAATATAAGACCCATTTAACTAATTTGATTAGATTAAGGAAGTTAGGTAAGTTATTATTATAAGAAATGTGACATTTTTCCTAAAACACCATAATCATCTTTTTAATACCTCCCTCCCTCTTCTACTTGATTATGGTTGAGGGAGTATTTATAAGGTAATTTAGAGAAAATTGATAATATGATAAATGGATCTTATATTTAGGATCAAACCAACTTAAGAATTGGGTCTTATTAAGGACCAAGGAGTACTAACACAACTTTTTCTTTTTGATGCTTTCACATTTCAATTTGTGTATTACTACCTTTAGTCTTTAATAGAAGAATTGATTGACTAATTTAAATATATTAAGAAAATAAGTTAAGTTAGTACTTTTTAAATGTAAGACCTTATACTAGTGTGTATAAGGGTCTTATATTTAGGACCGGAGGAGTAATTTTTAATAAATATGTATTGTCTTTCTTAAAATATCCTTTTAATAATGAACCGTAAAAAAAAATAAATTTGAGAGACAAAATAGATTGAGATCTTATATTTAAAATCAAAATAAAAGTCAAACGAGCGCTATTAAAAACCAAAGGTAGTAATTTATTAATGATTATGATCCCAACTTTGCAAACGTCGGTGTCTGTCAAACCGTAAACAAACTTAACTATCTCTCATTATTTCAATTTTAAAAATAATGATGGTAAGTTGATCAACATTATTTTTTTAATTAGCATTATTGTGTGTCTAATTATCTATTATTAATACTATTTGCCCACCTAGGTCGAGTCACAAAAACCTTAACTTTTCGTTTGCTAGGACATATATATTCTTTCATTGAAAATAATATGTTTGAAGTATATATTATCATGCATTAAATTTGAACACTTCTTCTTAACATGAATGAGACTGCAAATTTAATAATATAATGAAAACTAGAAGCAATGCATAGCCGCTCAAGTACAAAATATTGAATTCAAGTCTTTATAAATAAAGAAAAATCTTTTACGAGAGTTATTTTTTGTTGGGTTTGATAATGCTCAAATCTAATTTAATTAGATAATCATATCAATATATATATGTATATATATAATCCAACGCATACATATTATTATATTATGAAAATTAAAAAAATAAATATTAAAAATGCCGTTAAGTGAGATAATTTCGCCGTTATTCTAATCTTGTTGGAAGTAATAATCAAATTGACTATGAAAGTGTCCATAATAAAAATTTCCAACCACGTCCAGGCACATACCTGTGTACTTCTCTTGATTTTTCGTCCTACGAGTACATACGTACGTGTGCATATATATATATATATATATATATATATTGTGTTGTTAATTAAAATACTCACGTTGCCATCTCATCAATGGAACCAGCTTTTTGATAACCTGTTAATGAACACGCGGCTTCGTAACCCTAACCGTTTTCAGTTGATTCCTTGGAATTACAATATTGCATTCTTGTTAAAAAAGTGTAAACACACCTAATTAAAAATATAAGGTTGGTATAATTTTTTTTTTAAATTTATTTTCATTTTGACTTTGATCCCTCAAGTTTTAAATCATAAGTTGTGGTTTTTCAAGTTTTTTTTTCATTTAAGTCATTAGTTTCTGTAATTCAATAAAGATCTTGACCATTTTATCCCTTGAAGGATTAAATCAAAAGTTTGAAACTTGAAGCACCAAAATCAAATTGAAAGTAAATTTGAAGACTAAAGACCTCTAAAAATATTTAAACAGAAAGATGTCAAAAAAATTTAAAAATTAAAAAAAGAAAAAAAAAAAAAAAAAGAAAAGACAACACAAGCTCAAAGTTGGAAACAGGAATTTAGTTACTCCATCGTCTCTATCTATATAAACACCCCATGCCGTTGCTGCGTCTCGCTGGAATCTCTATCCCTCTCTTTACTTGTCTCTTTCTTTCTCGTTCTAATCCTCGCTTCTTCTTTTTTCTTTTTTCTTTTTTGCTTCTTCCTTCGATTCATTCCTGCAGGCCGACAACAAACCAACTGCTACATAAAAGCTTCATTAACTTAGTTTTTCTTTTTATTATTCTATCCGAAAACTAGAACCTGTTCAAGCCAAAGATATCGCCTTTTCTGTTTGTATCATGGAAGACGTTTCATTTCTGCAGAGTTTTCCTGTACCTGTGAAAGCAGCTTTTTTCTGAATCCTCAAAATCTGAACTGGGTACGACCCATGTTTGTGTCTACAAACTTGTTATTCCTTAGTTCATAATTTTGGTCTTATTGTTGTTTGTTTCACACACGTTGTTCAGGATTTGGCTATCACCAGAAGCTATTAGTATTATGTCTTTTGTTGTGGCCCGAACAGGGCGACACCGACAGCGTTATGAAGACAACTTTCGACTTGTTTCTGGGTAAGAACTCCTTCTTCTTCATTCTTTAGCTCCATGGATTCTTCACCTCATGAATTCTCCCTTTCTCTTTTTGTCTCTTACTCCCACATTTTTCCAATTCTGGTTTTTTATTACCTTACGTTCGTCGCTAAATCCATTCCATTTGTCTTTTCTCTTGTCTTCTTCTCTGTTTTTTCTCCCCTGTGCGGCAGAATACACGAGTAGATAATAAATTTCCCGTTTTGTTTATGCTTATTAAAGAGTTGGCCAAACTATTTTACATAATTGGCGGTATGAAACCAGTTTACATAATTGCCTTCTCCGTTTGATATTATAACATTTTTGTCATATTTCATATGCTTATGTCTTCATTACAATCATTTCAGTTAAAATTGTGGGCCTTATCATTGACTTCGCAAATGTATTAGTACTATAATTTAAATTGTGTAATCTATTTTGGCTTTTATGAGGTAACTGCGATTTCCTGTTTCACAGAACATATAGCATTCGGTGTTTTACCTTCGCTTTTTTTTTCTTTAAAAACAATTTGAGATTGCCTTTTTGGGTGCCTTTTATTCGGAAAGTGATATTACAGATTTACAGTATTACATGTTTTTGTGGTGTGATCATACGGGTTTTAATGAGAATTAACGATTAGGATCGTTTTTTAAGTAAAGCACCCAGTACTCTGCGTCCATATGAAGCACTGAATTAAAGCCCAGGCCTGCACGAGGATCATAAAATTCAAACATTCTCAGCAGCTATAGGTATCACCAAGCTGAGGAATTAACTGAGGCAAGTGATTGGATCTTGAATTCAACCAACCTGCCAATACAAGTCGCTAAAAATTTCTGGGCGAAACATCGTAACCCAATATTTCCTCGCTTTATCAGGCTTGATGGGTTGCTTTTTTTTTTTTTTGACCTGAAAATCGCATTGATTCGCATAAAGAAAAAGGACAAAACGGGTGTGCAGGATTTTTTGACAAAAGAGCTCAAGGTTAACAAAAACATTTGAACACATCCCCTTCCCTCTTTTCATTTCCTAATTCTACCATCCATAGAACTACTTGGCTGGAAAAAGTGCGAAACAGGCTGTAGACCGCGTGACAGTACAAGACAATAGTCATTACATCACATGATTAGAATAAAGATGCATAATTTTGAACAATCCATAGAACAATAAGTTGGATCTATCATCTCAAATCCTGCATATGGTCAAAACTTGGGAGTAGATTTTCAAGGACCATCATTTGATGATCCTATCAAACATATGGTTCATTCCATCGTTATTCAGAAATTCCATACAACAGGTGTATTCCCTATAGATGGAGGAAGGACATCAGGGATCAAAAGGGCATACAGAGCACATAATAGAAGTTCTAATGGTTACTTCACCAAAACGTGATGATCTAGTGTTTCCAAAGGTACTTTAAAAAAAAAAAAAAAGTCAAAAGGTGTTTTGCACTGTTTGAACTATGTTCCATTGTTCTCCTTCATGTTATGAAGTTTCACTTTGTTCTCTTGGCAGGGAGGATGGGAGGACGATGAAACTGTCATGGAAGCTGCTTGTCGAGAAGCTTTAGAGGAAGCAGGGGTGAAAGGAATACCAAGAGTAGGTTCTTTTTCCTACTTGGTCATGAAGTTATATAGACTTGTGTTTCTGCATAAATTGTTCAAGCATGATAAGTAGGATGACAATATGATAGAACAAAGAAGTATTTGTATTATAGATAAGCCCTCATTAACTTGCAAAATTGTGCTTCCTAGAATCATCTAGTGCCGAAATTGCGGTAAAATCCTGGATGCACGGCAACTTTGAGCTCAAAAAGTAATATAAAATTGTCTGTGTAAACAGATTTTCAGAATTAACCTTTTTGTCCGCAAAATTCTCTCAAGCGGTTTGACATGCCATGTGAATTATGCAGTTCTACAGTAGTTTCATGCACGTGTGTCTCGACTTCAGTTTGACCCGATGGGAAAAATTGTGGCATCCCCTGTTATATATTTGAATTGCATTGAACTTGATCAAAAGTGGTTGTTTTGTATGCAAATTGCATTAGTCAACACTGCTGAATGGAAATTAAGGGCATATTCCCAGTATCTCTTTTTCTTCTTGTTGAAAACAAAAATGATTCTGCCATCTGAAAGCTGTCTATAGATAGATTGGTTTCGATGACTAACCAAGAACACCATGAGTAGAAATTATATTGTTTCTAAGAAATATTCTATTGCTAACAAGCTCTCTTCCATCTTTTCCAGGAAAACCCCTTGGGAATGTGGGAATTCAGGAGCAAAAGCAGCCAGGACTTGTGCAACATGGAAGGAGGCTGCAGAGGATACATGTTTGCCTTGGAGGTGACTGAAGAACTTGAGACCTGGCCAGAGCAGAAAAACCGTGATCGGCAATGGGTAAACAAATATCCTCAATAAGTCTTTCATATGTAACTGCATGAAATTGATAAGTACTTCAACATCAAACACATACAAATAGAACAATTTTTTGCTTTTTGTCATGGCATGCTTCAACTGATGTAGGGTATTTTTAAACTCAAGATTTTTATGTGTTTACCTCATTTGAAGTAAAATAAAGGTATATAAACATTTTTTACAGTTAAATGTCAGAGAGGCGTTTCGACTCTGCCGGTACGATTGGATGTGTGAAGCACTAGAAGAGTTTCTGAAAGTTATAACAGAGGACAGAGAGCTTCAGGAGCAGGAAGAGAAAGTGGATCCTTCTTTAATTCAAGTACCAGATGTGCCAACTAACATGTTTATAAGACCTTCTACTATAACTACTCAACATCGTACTATGTCACTAAAACACCCGCCACTTGCTGCTAAGGATATCATAGCCATTCACTTTGGTTGTTGAAACTTCCTTGCATGTGCCCTTTTGCAGTAGGTTCCTGTAATGAACGACGGTGAAGTAGGCTTGGTGAAAAACACATCTAGACCATCCACTTCATTTTAGCTTCTTTTTCTTTATTTCCATGGGATTATGTAAAGTATGATGGTAGAAATTTCAACTTGAAACTTCAACTTAAGGGGAAGGTTGGGTTGTAGACATTATAAATTTTCAGGTGTTTGGGAATCAGTTTGTTTATTATAACATGTTATTGGGAAAAAAAAAAAATCTTTCCATGTCACTATAGCACATAAGTTTTAAGATTATCATACTGACGCTAAAATACTTGAGAAACTGAATTGCTCACAAAGCAAACATCACCTAAATTTTCTTTTTTTTCCACCCGACCATTCATAAAGAAGCTCATAAAATGGCAACATTGGTCAAATCTGGTCCTGTCACAGAGGGCTCTGACAATGCTGCCTGGTAACAAGCCTTGGATACAAAATGTTTGAGGTCTCATTCGCAGCTCTAGTGGCTAGAGCGAGTTTATGTATTTCCTCTCTCTCTCTCTCTCTCTCTCTCTCTCTGTGTATGATGAACTAAATTAAACTGATGAATTAAGGTTTAATATAACGATTGTTTTACATAATTTTCGAAGAAAATAAATTTGTTATCATGAGGAAGTTATTAATGAAGAGCGTTAAAAGAATGGAAGCCAACACGATACAAAAGAATCACATATTTCCCTCTTAACGTTACAAAGGACATACTCGAGACAGCGGAAAGTTTTGTTTTTGGAATATCAAATTGTCTAGTTGCTAACAAACGTCAATGTCACGAGACAAAAGGGATCACTGCCTTTCAGTGCCTAAATTTTTAATTTTCCAAAAAAGAAAAGGAAGAAAGAAAATTGGTCTCCAACAGAATAATAAAGACTAAAGAGGTTTGATTTCAAACATTACCCCCATTGAAATATTCCGGCAAGGCAACACCTGGACAATAGTGACCAGTGAAAGCCATGCTTGGTCGCTTCACTTGTAGTTTTAGGCAGGTCCCTACCCCTCGAGATGATCACTTCAGGATTCAGAATATCCAAATTAACTGTTTCACACTTTCACACTTGAAAATATTCTCTTCCACATGGATTAAAATATACGTGATGATAGTGACAAAACTAACAACTTCACTCAAAAATCCTACTTTTATGGTAAGATTGAGATTTGCCAAGTTGCAGAAATCCAATGCATATGCACAGATAGGTATATTTAAAATGCTTGTTTCTTTCTTTCTTTCTTTTTTGACGAACAAGAGGGCATAAAATGGTGCCCACTAGAGCCGCACATGAAGAAAAGGCAAGCTCCAACACGCACGAGCATGGATTCATGTTCTAAGAGGTGGATGTTTCCCAGAAATTTGATGCTCCTATGATCCCATGTAACCACTCAGTGACAAAAAGAATGAAAGGGATTTGTCCATTATTGTGTTTTACTTAATTCCTAAGGAACAATAACCTCCTCGATAGTGTCATTCTTGAATATGTGTTCCATGTTTCCTTGGTGTGTTAGGCGCTGTTCATTACTTTTGTTTACATTTTTCCATGATCTTGTTTTCTTTTTATACTTCTTATGTGGATTGATATACCTTGTCAGTTTGAAGCCAAATTAATTACTCTTCTGGTACTTGATATAGAACCTAATTGTTAAGTTAATTTTGGTTCTAAATATATATAAGACCTATTTATCATATTTATCAATTTTTCCTAAAATACCCTTATGGATACTCCCTCAATCATAATCAAGTAAGTGAGGGGGATGATATTAAAAAAGATGATCATGGTGTTTCAGGAAAAACATGTAAGTGAGGGGGTGATATTAAAAAAGATGATTATGGTGTTTCAGGAAAAACATGTCTTATATTAAGGACAGAAGGAGTCGAAACTATTTTTAGAAACTCTAAACAAAAATATTTGCAGTTACCTTCTTACACTACAGCTTCTGTACTTTGGATGTAATCCCTAAGAAATGTTGCGGATGTAAATTTGCTATTTTAATTAATTGCTTACTATGATTATTGTTATTATTCCAAAATATGTTGTCCCAAAAACCATATTTTAATAATTTGACATTAATTCATAGCATTCATCTCCATGAAGGCAACACCATGTGACTGTATTCTGTGCTAGTCAAGATATGAGCTTATTATTGGTACGGGATTCAAACTTGAAAGACAAAGAATACCATAAAATATAGTTTCTTTACGGATCCCTGTCTTTCTTTTCCCTTCTTTTTCAATCAAAAGTAGGCTTTCAATTTTCACTCTTCAACAAACATAAAAAGGACCTTTTTTTGGGACCAACACTAAGTAAGAAAACTACCTAATGCAAGTGATACTCAAATGATGGTATGTCCCACTAGCCTACTTCAGCAAACATAAAGATGACTTAAAATGCAAAAATATATGAGGGATTTATTCATCTTAAATTTAGCGCTACATCCGATAACCATATATGAATTAGAAATTTAGAAATGAAAAATGTTGAGCCAATATTGACATTATTTGTCTAAGGGTAGCATTGGGAAAAATATTCCATTTGTATGAATAATTGTTGGGCTAATTTTAAGTATTCGGATTCAAACTCATACTCTCTCTCTCTCTCATTCAGTAAAAAACGTCTTATAATGAAAAATGGAGGGAGTATATCTTTGAATTATTCCTTTTATTTTATTTATGAGATCGAGAAAGAATTTTTTTCTCTTTAATATCAGTCACTTCATTAAATTTATTATACAAATGTATACTCTTATTCTTAATTTATTATCCTATAAATTGTTACTCCTCCAGTCCTTAATATAGGACCTAATTGTTAAGTTAATTTTGGTCCTAAATATAAAATCTATTTTTCGTATTTATCAACTTTTTCTAAATTATCCCTATGGATACTCCTTCAACCATAATCAAGTGAGTAAGGAAGAGGAGATATTAAGAAAAATAATTGTGGTGATTTAAGAAAAATATATCATATTTCTTATAATTAAGTAACTTATATAACTTTCTTAATTTAATCAAATTATTTAAATAGGTCTTATATTAAGAACCGGAAGAGTATTCATATATATACTCCTCCGATCTTAAATATAAGACCCTTATACACACTAGTATAAGGGTCTTATATTCGGAGGAATATTAAATAGAAGTGAACTTAAAAATTATTAAATTTTAAAACAAATTTAATAAAATTTATATATTTTTTTTAATTATAATGATACACATTGGAAGTCCCTTGTAATAAAGCTACTAGAAGAGTACTAACCTTAAAGTAGGGTGAGCAATGTTTGACGGTTTCATGATACTTTTAGTTTGAATAGCCATCGTAGTTAACAGCTGATTAATGTGTTTTAAAGCTAATTTTATGAAGAATCATTGACCATATAACTTTCTTATTTTCTGGATGTGGGACTACTGGTAAGATGCTTTCGATGCACGCACAACTATAAGCCTTTGAAGAAGACAAAAGTAGCCATTACCGTATGTTTAACCTAAATTAATCAACAGTATCAAACCCAATTAATTCAAATCCCAATGGATCTTTAACTTAAAAATTATTTTTTGTATCAAATTGGGTGAGCAAAAAGCAAGGTAAAACTAACATCTGTCTCCTCTCTTAGAGAGTGTTTGGTTTATCCAAAAAAACACTTTTAAAAAGTATTTTTACGTAAATCAAAACAAAACTCTATCCATATACTTACTTTATATATTATAAAATCACTTTTAAAAATATGATTTGGTTTTCACCTAAACATTCTTATCTTTTTTGTTTTTTTGTAGGTTCTTCCACCAGTTTTTTCTTTGGACAAATCGCGTTAACTTAGTACGTTTAAATTGTACATCAACATGCTGCCATTTCAGGAGGACCACTTTAATGAAAAGGTCTTAAATTAGTGTGTAATGGCCATTCCGCTTTGATACACATACTTTAAATCTAGAGTTTGTTTAATTTGACCAAAATCTTTTAATTGTACTATACAACTAAATTTCTAAGAAACCATCAGAAATTAAGATGTACTTACTAAATGCTAACATAAAGCCAATAGCACCTTCCCAACAAAAATCCTGATCCTGCGATATCGTCTTGGATGAAATGGGACCTGAAAGTAATCAGATTATTTGTCGTGATTGAATATTATTCAAACTTTCTAATCCCCCTTTACATTGTATTGGTTGAAAAATTGGTCAAATTCATACAAAACATTGTTAGGGACATCTGGTCAAAGTTCCACTACCAGATTTTGCAATTAGTTGTCGCTAATTAAGAAATGCCTAGCCATTGTTTTCTTCAAAAAAGTCATGCCTATGTGTTTTTTTTCACATGCTCCCCAACATGGCTTCCTCTCAATCGGTTCTCTTTATATTTCGAAACGTAATTGAATAGAAATAATATACACTATAGCCACAACCTTTGCAAAATTATCAAAGGAAATATTACCAATAAAATATGAACACTTAAAAAGTAACTTTGATGTTCGATGAAAAGAAGAGAAGACTATGTGGAACTTATCATTGATTTCATGGCTCAAATTGGGTGCACATGGGTGAGTAATGATATTCCTTAAATACCCTATTATTAAATAAATAACTAAAAGTTCAAGACAAGTTAGACTTGGACAATAACCTAATAATGGATGAATGTTTCATTTCATTTATTTTGAGGGGGGGGGGGACTCTTCCTCACATCCTCAGAATCATTCCGTTTGAAGGCCATAAAACAAAACCCTTCAGCTGCCTCAAATATCTCGGGGAGAAAATAGGCTTTCATACTGAGATGGGAAAAAATGCCTGATAAATTAACTGTAACTGACAATTTATAAAGGAAAAAAGGAAAGAAAGGAGTGTAAGTTACCAAAACTCAGAAGTAACGTATTACATTCAAAGAGGCGAGATTTTCACAGACGGGTGTAATAATAGCTCTTGATGATCACCATATTCCAACTGGCAAACATTATTTGGGCAATAATTTGCATTGTAATTCGGTTTAAATGGGCAGTTCGATTTCACACCCAAACAACAAAACTGAATCATAGAGATCCTCATTAATAAAAAAATATGGCACAGAAATCACAGCCGGAAAAAAGTGTTGAACTTCTTAAATATTTTATAGCATGTAGTATCACTTTGGAATAGCCATACATACATAGATACATACATGCATACATATGTGCGTGTCTGAGGGAGTGGCACTACCTGATCACTCAATTCCTTAGTGACCAGAAGAAGAGAGATGCTTTACGCTATTAAATCATTAGCAATCTCTGCAGGCAAGGCATGCTGCATAAGCATGGAGCCTAATTATATTATCAAGAGTATATTGATCATAGCACCCACATAATCACCAATGATAAATCTAATTAATCTATTCTAAAAGATCTCATCTTCTAAGTACTCTCGATGGGACCTAATAATCATCGGAAAGAGCATGAAGCTCTCCCACCTGCAATTATCATTAGAATGTGCAGCTGAGCTTCGTATAAAACTTTTTCCTTTTGGCTGATCCAGTTCATGAGATAGAACTTCAGATACTCATATATAATTAGCAATTCTATATCTTTTTTAGATTGTGTGTGGAGGCTATATGATTAGTTCCTCATTCATGTACAATCCCATGTTTTGGTAGAAAGGTCACATGCAGCAGCTTTGGACTATACGGAGTATTCAAAACGGGACACGTAATTAAAAATAATATTTGCTAAATCAAAACAAGGCACAACTTTGATTGAAGAATAATCATGAAATGGGGTATCTAAGAGAACATGCTTATCATGGGCCATTTAGATGTCTAATTATACCACCCACATATATAATTTTCTTTTCCTACCCTAATTCAATTATACTAATGCGCCTTCTACATCTTCCCCTCATCATTTGAAACTCATTTCTTATTAAGAGTTTTGTAAGTTTGCTTGGACGCCTTAAGAGCCTGGGATGGATTCTATTCCCCTGGCCCTGCCCTTCACTTTTTTCCACGAAAAGAGTTTCCTTTCTAATAGACTGGATTGCTCAATAATGACATAACTGCAACAGAAGCTTACATATGTGCGGATAAAGTACTAAGAAGAGAGGCCACGTGTTGGGACTATTTGATGGGAGGGATATAGATGGCAATTCACGGAAATGTTCGGGGGCTAATGGGAGTTTTCCCGAGCTAGATCTCCCTTATTTAAACCATGGATTCACATGCTGACTCCACACAACAAAACAACACAGCAACAAAAGAAAGAGGAGGGAAAGAGCAAGAGTCATGCATGCCATATTGATCACTCTTCAGCTCTCTTAACTTCTCTTCTTCCAAATAATATTGCTTTTAATAGTTACTCGCATACTTCTGAGTTGTGTCTCCTGCCCCCACTTCCCTCTATTATAAACTTGGTTATTTTGTTCTTCCACGTACAAGACAACTCATCTCACTTACGTAATTCATCGAGCACATGATGAACCCATTTTCGTCGTCGTCATCCAAGGCCAAAAAGAACCAAACGGCGACAACAAGCACAGCTGCAGAAATGGCAACAACACAAGAGCAGAAACATGAAACGGCATGGGGAGGGAGGTACCTGGGTGTTCGGAGGAGGCCATGGGGAAGATACGCGGCGGAGATCCGAGACCCTTCCACCAAAGAGAGGCATTGGCTTGGCACCTTCGACACTGCTGAAGAAGCCGCGCTGGCCTACGACAGGGCAGCTCGGTCCATGCGAGGCTCACGTGCCCGAACCAACTTCGTCTACTCCGATACCCCCCCTGGTTCTTCTGTCACCTCCATTATCTCCCCCGATGAACAAACCCACGAGAACCACGACTTCTCGTCTTTCTTCGACCAAAATTCGCTCACCCAACAGTCCTACCCGAATCCTCAACTCTCCGAATGCAACCTCTCCGACAGTTTCATAGCGTTTGCGGATAGTAATGCTTGGTCTTCACCTTCATCCGGGGCTTATAATTATCCACAACATCAAGTTGCAGCGACGGAGGGCCACAACCTAACACATTTCCAACAACTGTATGATGATAGTAACACAGAGCTTCCTCCTTTGCCGCCAGATATTACGAGCTCCGCGGGATACGAAATGGGCAATGAGTTTTACGGTAACGAATTTGGGTACTCGGAGCAGAGCACCGTGACGGAAACAAGCGGGGGATCGAGCTCGTACATGGGTTTTGATTCGGTTGACTACGTGCATAGCCCGATGTTCAGCACAATGCCACCGGCGCCAGATAAGGAGCCGGAGGGCTCTGATTTGGGGAATTCGTCTTATTTCTTCCGAGGTTGACGATTACGCTAATTCATTTTGTTTGTGTGTGTGTGGCTAAGATTGTCGTTGATATGTATACTGCCGTGAGTTTGTGTGATACTGTGATGCGAGGGAGGGAGGAGGGAGATCGGCGAAGATGATGATTTTGGTGTGTTTTTAGTCTGGGCTTTTGTAGGGCCTTTCTTTTAAAGCTGGTTTGCTGGGTTATTAATGAGCCCAATTGTATTTCAGGAATAATCCTTATGTATCAAAAAACTGAATTACCAACCACTTGCCTCCGACAAATTTTTCTAGGAGCTAATATGATGAAAATATCGATTTACTCGGATGGTTATAAGCAGGAGTTTCAATTGCAACTGAAAATTATATCTAAAAGTTAAACGTCTTATTCCTAATTGTTTGAATTGATCATTTATGACATTTTTTTCAAAGTCAGGAATTGTTATTAATTCACATTTGTTGACCAGGCTGTCGTTTTCTTTTACGGCCAGGGTCCAAAATGTGTCACCAGATAAGGGAATTGAGAATGAACACCAAAACTATAGAAATGGAAATTTAAAATTATAAATGTTGAGTTGAAATGAGTTGAAATTCATTAATTGAGTTACAATCAAATCAAATTAAAATTATGAGAACAAGATAGTTAAGGAGATGGATGCTAAAGGTTAGTGTTGGAAAATAGTGCATGACTCAATTTTTCAGAGATTCCAATATAAATGCTTCCAGTTCAAATGATATCCTACAAAGAGTAGAGATTGGTTAGATTTCCCTTTTTTTTAAGCTACCGGCACTAATTGTTTATATAAGGCGCAACTTTCCATTGAAGCCTTCATGCCTTAAAAGAATGGACAGATTGATAAGAAAATATTAATTATATTGATTTTGTGGTTCAAATGAGTAATGAAATTTAAATTCAAATCCTATGAGGTTCTTATTTTTATCACCTAGGGTAATTAACATTCATTTTTTTTTTTTAAAAAAAAAGATCTTACTCTTCTAGTCCTAGTGTATAAGAGTCTTATATTTAGGATCGGAGGAGTATTTTTTACCTATGGCATGGGTAAATGATTGAATCAACCTAGCTTGAGGGTACGCTTTGCAGATGATTAAAGTATGGGTGTAGGGAGATTTGGATCAAATATATTGGTGGGTCAAATTGAGAAAATAGATAGATGTAGGGTGGGGGTTGTTCTAGGGTTTGCTCCTGGGGTTTCACCACGTAGGGTTTGGAAGACGCTGCTTTCTTTCTTTTTTTTGACCTGAAACTGCTTCTTTTCATCATGTGAACCTGCAGTGACTAGCTACCTAGCTCCCCTGTTCCTTCCTGGGAAGCAACCCATCAAGATGAGATCTTAATTCCCAACACCGCCCAATTAATCAGTCGACACTATGTCACTAATTACTCCTTGTTGCATTATGGTATATCTGGGAAAACGATAACCCCACCGATTAAAACGATGCATGTGTGTGTGTGGATCATTCCTCTTATTTTTTTGGATGTTTTGATTATATTACTGGCAATATAATAACGATATAATAACGTTGCTGGTGGTGTCACTGATATGCCGATGATTATGTTTTTTGGTTAATCATGTTTACTGATTTTGCTATTTGTTGCATTATGCATGTTTATTCACTTTTTTTTGGCCAAAAACGAATGGCATGGACACAGTAGTCTTGGGAATGATCAAAAGTGAGCCCAGGAAAACTTCGTTGAAAGAATATGCCTAAAATATTGGGAAATTTAAGTGCACTTAAATTAGGTTCTCAGAGCTCCAACTAAAGAAGAAGAAGAAGAAGAACATTTTGCGATGATGGAGAAATTTCTCGGATGTGGCAAATTAGAGCATTACTTCTATTCGGTCGAGAACTTATTCGCCACGCTCAACCCAAGAAAAAATGGGCACAAAGGATTTGAAAAATGCAAGCATTTGTGGAATGCAAACATAGAAGATATGAAATGTGATACTAAAACGGCAAGGGTCGCCCCCCACTCGAAGGTGAAAAAAATGGGGATATTGTGGGTTTATATGCTTTTTCCCTTTTTAAATTTATTGTCCATAGAATAATTGATTTCCGAAGATCCAGTATTAAGATCTGCCTTTCCAGACCCAAGGGGACACATTTTTTGCTGGAATTTAAGAATACGAAGTGAGGGGACTGATGATTTAGGTATTGGTTACATCAACACATTTATTTATTTGCTGAATATTGGAGTGGGGAATTACCATTATTTTTTGAATTATATGACAAGTGGGTAGGGTTTTGTTCTGAATTATATTATTTTCTCATCGTTTTAGATAGTTCTATTTTATGGTGCCACTAATGTGTCTGTCACCGCGCAAGAAGAGGACTCCATAATTAAGTTATATTAACTTTCACACTTACCAGATTAGATCGTGTATTAGCTGGGATGATCCGTGGGATCAATTTTGAAAAAATAAATGATTACTGTTTAAAAACACATTCTGTCCCTTTTTGTGATTGAAAGGAATCTATTCATTACAAAGTTACTTTGATTTGATTTTATATATATATATATATATATATACACATATTCTCATATTAAAAACAATCTTATTTGAGACACTAAACAGGAGTACTTCTCTAAAAAACTTTATATTTTAATTTGTCACGTTATGAGTGACGAGTTCCTTTAAACCCTTCTACCAAAACCAACTCCTGTTGGTCAAATACTTTGATTTTTTCATGTGAAACAAGGGTATTTTTAAAATCATATTAGATCTGAGACTAATCTTTTTCGAATTTGGAGTAGTTAAGGAATAACCCCTAATAAGTATATTTTTCAAAACATAAATTTGTGGTTTTTTTTTTTTTTGAATAGAATGAGACCACTACCACGTTAATGGTTTTTGTTCCCTCGATATCATTATATAGTTAAATGAACATGCGCGTGCGAGAGAGAGGTTAGGGGATATACTGGGCCGGTTTGAGAGACGAGTCGAGTTGGATATCAAGCTAATGTCCAGCCCAATCCTTAGCTGCCGCGCGGCATACATATACGTGATGCCAGCTTAATTATTTAAAATTTTTATGAACGTTAATATATTTTATATGATTTCCCATTATTTTTCTAGTCAGATAACATGTAATAAATTAATTATACTTGAAAATTTCTTGTGAATGAGTATTTTAATTTTACTTTAAAGTGTAAATTAATTTATTGCGTGTTTGTGAATTTTTCAAATACTACTTTTTTTAAACTGATATCATTTTTTAAGAGGATGTATAATCATATGTGATGTGTCACATTATCTTGTCCCATGTATTTGAGGATACCCAGAAAAACAAATACAAGGTCAAAAAACAAAAAAGAAAAAGAAATAAAATATAGACGTGAAAGAGAACGAATTATTGGGGGGTTGCAGTGTATAATTGGCATTTTGGCACCGACCAAGGGACATGTGCGTTCCATCACACATCATAGTCATAGCCACGGATGGCTCTCGGAGGTCGGAGCGATCGTTATCAGACAAACAGATAGACACCCAAAATCTTCGCAATGTGTTCAACGTCACTCTCACTCATCTTTGACAAGCTCAAGTCTCAGCAAACCTATTGCAAATGGACACTAATACATGAATAATAATACTGCCTCCTCCGTAACTTAATATTACTTTTAGTACTTAATATAAGATATTATTTAATTTTAAATATAAGACCTCAATTTATTTTATCTCTCATATTTATTTATTTTTTTCTTTCTAAAATAGTCCTTGTAATAACTGCATATATTAAGTGTTTGATCAAATAACAATTGACTAGTGAAAGTATTTTAGGGAATACAACACCTATTTACTTAACTAATTTTTTTAATCTACTTGAATTAATCAACTAACTCTTATATTAAATACTAATATTTTATTAAAAAAATCTATTTATTATAAATAATTGATTTAACTGATTTTTTAATTATTTATAAATTAGCTATCTAATTATTACATCAGTAACCAAAAATAGCGTTAAGTATATTAAATATTGGCGGATCAGTGCATGTGATGTCATCCCCTTCCTCCGTCCCAGTCACTAATGACTAATCTGTGTCTCTCCGTTTCTGTTTTCCAGTGTATCTTGTGTTACTGTTTTCTTACTGCTTACTTGATTTCTTCCGTCTCTATAACGCCTGGTCCAAACAAGTTTATCTACGTTAAGGCCGGAAGACATCGTTTTTTGTTAAATCAATATTGTCCATGTCACTTGATGTACGTGTTAGCTCCGATTCGTAAGTCGTAACATATATTGACAAGCATTTGGAGTTATGCTTAATTTTGAATATAAAACATCAACTTATTTTACCTTCAATACTTACATGTTAGGGGAGTTTTAATGTAAATAATTTAAGAGAACATTTTAAAAAAATTAATACATATTTTTTACACACAGCTGATTTAACTAATTTTTTTAAATATATTCTAATTAAATATATCTCGTTGGATGTAGTGTGCGTACATGTCACATGTGATTAACTACAAAGGTTTACTGAGACGGTAATAGACAGGAAAAAAGGGCAAAACCAGAGGAGATTCAACTTAATAAATTTTTTAGAAAAATTTGGTTAAAATATTATTACACCCGATTCTTAATATAAGACATCATTTAATTTTTATTTTAGTTTTAAATACAAAAGTCAACTGGCTCTTATATTTGAGGTCAGAAGTAATGTGTTATATGTGTAATATCCATTTAACTATCTGCAAATTGATTTTCGTTTTAACCAAATATCCCTACGTTAAGTTTAATAGATAATTACTTTTTTATATTAACATGATAGATTCTCCTATATTGGACAACTGAATTCTTTTGGTTGCTCATGGCGGCAGCATCCGCGTGAATTTAGGTAAATAAAAAGATTTATTGATGAGATAACTCAATCCCAACACCCCCCCAGCCGAGACGAGCATTTGTTTATTTATCACTCATAAAACCCACCAATTTGCCAAGTTGTCGTCGTCTTCGTCTTCCTGAGTTAGACAATTTGTCGTCTTCTCTGGTTTCTGATTTACGGGATTCCTGGTCTGGGTGGCCTCATCTTGAGTCAGCAAAGGCATCGTCGACGCGGAAGAAGGTTCCCGCAGAGCGCGTGAAGCAGCTCCTTCGTCAATCCCCACGAATTTTTTTAAGAATTTTGAAGCTCTTAATAATACTAATTACTTCACTCCCTCTCTGCAAAGCCTCAGCATCACTCTCATGGAAGTGGAAGCCAACAAGAAGATCAATTATCATTTCAGGCCGTGCTAGTGAACCCGCGA